TGGCATCCAGAGAGTGGAGGTTAGAATTCGCCACACTAAGGAGGGCTTCTTTGGTTGGTATCTGCAGACCAAACACCTAAAAACTGGAGACAGCATTGAAGTAGAAGACATGGACATGGAGTTGCTTTGTAAAATAAATAACACAAACCTGGAAGCATCTGAATCGCAAACCAGACCACAGCTCTCTTTCAGCTGTAACTTGATTTGCAAGCCTAAATCATAGACTGGAGCCTCAATAGATTGAGCAACGTGAGAACAAAACAACTGAGAGGCAATTGAAAATTAAAGATGTTCACCCACAGGAATAAAACCAATCATTGAGAGTTCTACAGAGCCATCTAAACAGAGGTCGGTGAAAAGCTTTTAGAATCTCAGATGTATTCTGATAATTAGTGACAATGACTACTCTGAGATTGTAAAAGCTTTTGTAACTTCCCTAGGTTTGTGATTTTGTCACTCATCAGCTCATTAGTAGTTTAAAAAAAAAATTATAAAACCAAAAAGTATCTATATATTTATCAGAAACAGCCTTGGGAGCTGGCAGAAGTAGCCTCTCGTTACCCGGCTGGATGGCCTGAAAATGAAGGTTTGTGATCTGGAATCGTAGCAGAGATATAAAGAAAAGAAAAAAATAGAAGTCCTTCATAATGACTATTATTTACAAGCCAGTAATTATGGACTAGGCATTTTTCTCTTGCATTTTCTTGCTTAACAGTCCTACAAAATGAGTCCTGTGGTTATCCCCGGGTTACATTGGGAGGAAACTGAGATTTAGAAAAGGGTAGAACAAGTGACTCACCTGAGACTCTACAAGAAAAACAAAAATCACACGAAATGGCAAGGGTAGAATATCATCAGGGGCCTTCCGGCTCCCTGACTCAACTCTTTCAACCCCCACCTAATGCTACACAACAGGCTATGAGAATATGAGAAGAAAGGACAAAGGACCGAGAGTGGGGATGTTGCAGAGGCAGTGAACATGAGCCTGAGATACAGTCAGCAGGGAACTTAATCCCAGGCCACCTGATTTTATTTAAGAAATGACATAGTTATATGGCTTTTTATGTCCTGGCTTCGGAGTCCCTGCCCAGTAGAGATGGGACCTGTAGGGAGCAATTGGGAACCATTTCACACATTCCTGCTACCAAGCAAGAAATAAAATTAATCCTGGCTGGGCGTGGTGGCTCACACCTGTAATCCCAGCACTTTGGGAGGACAAGGTGGGGAGATCACAAGATAAGGAGTTCGAGACCAGCCTGGCCAATGTGGTGAAATCCCGACTCTACTAAAACTACAAAAAATTAGCCAGTGTGGTGGCGGGTGCCTGTAGTCCCAGCTGCTCAGGAGGCCGAGGCAGGAGAATCACTTGAACCTGGAAGGCAGAGGTTACAGTGAGCCGAGATCATGCCACTGCACTCTAGCCTGGTGATAGAGTGAGATTCCATCTCAAAAAAAAAAAAAAAAGAAGAAAAGAAAAAAAGAAAATTAATCCCATGGGTGAAAAGGTATGGTCAGAGTTCCTAGATATCTTGAGGAATGAGTTTGTATTCCTCTAACAGATGTGGGGGGAGTAGGACCCATGCCATATTTTCATGTGAGTTGTTATTGTTGTTTTGTTTGTTTGTGTTTGTATTTGTGACTGAATTATAGTTCCTAGCCATTTGCGGTTATACAGAATATTTGGAGAATTGAATGAAAGTTCTGGACTTCACCCCAGAAAAGTGTGTGTGCACACATACATACAATTTTGTGTATAATTTCAGGAGGGTGGTGCCCTTCCCACAAGAAGCTCATCTACAGATATCACCCATCCAGGATTCCACAGACACAGTTTAAAATCTCTGAAAGCTGGGTATGACTCCCAGCTGTCCCGCTGTTCAGCTGTGTGATCTTAAGACACTACATCTCTGAGCTCCATTCTAGTCAGCCATGACTAGTGGAAGAAATTGCTACCCTGGATCATGCTAATTTTAGAGAACAATGATCGACAAGACCCTCTTTAAGGATTTAAATAAGCCCACAACGACAGAAGCTTCGCCATCCAAAAATTACATGAAGAAATGGAGAGGGAACTGAGGATTGTTAGCCAGAGAAAGAAAAACTCAGTGGGTTGAAAGGGTTTTCATGTGAATGAAGATGTAGTCTTATTCTGTAAGAGGCTCCAGAGGGGGAGCAGAGTGGCTTGGTGTTAGAGTGATTTAGAGTTGAAAAGACGTGGGTTAAATCCAGATCGGCCATTTACTGGACAAGTTTTTAATCTTCAAGGTCTTTAAAATGAAAGTGATAATGGTACCCATTTCTTATGGATTTGCGGACAATCAAAAGAGATAATACATGGAATGTGCATGGTGTTAAAACAATGGCAGACCTACAATGCTGGTATTAGCTTCTCTAATAAACTCTCTGACTCTCTATTTCTTTATCTCTAAAATGAAGATAATATCAGTACCTGCATAGGAGGTTGTGGTGAGAGTAAAAAAAGAATATTAACACAAAATGCTGAGCACAGTACCTGATGCATAGATAAGTCCTTGGTGGACCTTAACCACAATGATCCCTATGAATGTTTCATTACCAAAAAAAAAAAAAAAAAAAAAAAAACAGTGGGAAGAGAGGAAATAGGGAGTGAAGGAATTTTATTTCCATCTGTTTTTATGTACCCCTAACAAAAATGCATTAGTGTAATGTTTGTGTAATTTAAAATAAATGAATAGTAGTTAAAAGAATATGACTTTTAATTTCAGATTAGAAATCCAGATAAAATAAAATGATATCTAAAGAGTGTAGAATCAGAGCTAGACATCCTGGATCTGATGCCTGAGAGCTGTGTGGCCTTGGGAGATTTAGATGCAACAGAACTATGAGCATCTGCTGAAGAGGCCCAGGAAGACAGGTTGAAACTGAACTAGCATGTAACACCTGCTCAGTAAACCCTGCTTTTCATCCCTGATGACTAAATGTTCCACAGAGACTGACCAGCCTTCTTACACCAAGCTCCTCTTCAGCCAAGCAGCAAGTGTTCTCTGTTCCGGGATTTGGTAAAGGAGGAGAGAAATGAAAATTATCAAGAAGCTTATAGAAGGTAAAAATCACATGACCTTTTGTTCCCTCGTAATTCAATGTAAAGTAGTCCAAGATTTAAATGGAACAAAGGATGATGATGTTAGAATGTTCTGCCTCGTTTCCGTTACTTTTCTAGTCACTGCCTTCTCTTTCATCTGTTTGAAAGTAGTCCCCACCCTTACCCCATCCCATAGACCAACAGGGTCTGGATCTTTGGCATGCCATTTCCCTTAAATTATCGACTCCTAGTCCAGATTTTCTGTTTTCCCACTGTATGAGTTAGTGCAGGCCTAAGCATCTTACTACCAGGCCCCCCTTCCATTTCATCTTGAGTTACAGTCTTAACTTCGAAACCTGTCCCCTTCCATTCACTCTTGTCTGTCCCCTCCAATTCCATCTTCTGAACTTTTGAGAGTGATGTTACATTGTCTCCTTCACAGAATTAAAGGATACCTGTTTCCTGGCTAGTAAACATATAGGAAGGAACGCAAACTCTCTGTTAATCATGATAAGGAAAGAACAAGATGGGTTGGACATGGTGGCTCATGCCTGTAACCCCAGCACTTTGGGAGTCTGAGACATTTGGATCACCTGAGCTCAGGAGTTCGAGACCACCCAGAAGAGAGTGGTGAAACCCTGTTTCTACTAAAATTAGCTGGACATGGTGGTGTGTGCCTGTAGTCCTAGCTACTCAGGAGGCTGAGGCATGAGAATCACTTGAGTGTGGGAGGCGGAAGGAAGGAAAGAAGGAAAGAAGGAAGGGAAGGAGGCAGGGAGGGAGGGAGGGAGGGAGGGAGGAAGGAACAAGATGACGTTTTCTTCTCAGAAAACTGAAAAAGTTAAATGGTCATATCAAGTGTTGGGAGGATATGGGAAAGCAGATACTCTGTGGGTGGAAAAATAAATTGGCACAACCTTTTCTGAGAACATTTTTCTACAAGTTATTAAATTTAAAGGTGCACATTTCTTTTAACCAGTAATTTTTACTTTCTGGTCACCATTCTAGCTAGAGAAACACTTGCATGAATGGTTAGAAAGGCATGAATGTACTAGGATGTTCACTACAGCACTGTTTACAAAAAGGAAACATTGGAACAGTCTAAATGCTCCTCAATAGGCAAGAGATATTGTGAGTACTCATAATATAAAATATTATCCAGCAATTTAACATAATGATACCTATCTACATAGACTAAAGAATGTGGTCCAGTATATAACAATCAGTGGTAAAACAAAACGTAGAATGCTGCATATAGTATGATAACATTTTTTAAAGACATGCACAAAACCAAACTATATATTTCTATATCTATCCAGACACATAGGGAATGGAAAAAGACCTGGAATGATCATCTTCAACTAATAACAGTTATTGTCTCATGTGAGAGGGCTGGGATTGAGGACAAGGAGTGAAAGAGAATTGTATTTCTGTTTGTATGCACCCCTAACAAAAATGCATTAATGTGATATTTGTGTAATTTAAAATTAAAAAATAAAAATTTGAAAAAAGAATAGGTGGTTTTCCTACTGTCATTCCTGGTGTCAAGTCAGAAGCTGCTAAGGAAGAAGGAAGATCTCAACAGAGGGGCTTCGAAGCCAGCACTGACGCGTGCAGCACGCCGCGCTTTCAACCCAGCTGGCAGGGGATGTGGGACGTGGCCACGAAGGAGCCGGAAAAGTTGGATCCCAAGACAAGCAGGCAGATGACAGATTGCTTCCACAGCCAAAGATGAGCCACTCATAAGAACACAGCCCCAGGCCAGGCAAGGTGGCTCACTCCTGTAATCCCAGCACTTTGGGAGGCCAAGGTGGGAGGATCACTTGAGGCCAAGGGGTTTGAAACCAGCCTGGGCAACATGGTGAGACTTTGTCTCCACAAAAAATGAAATAAATAAATAAATAAAATAAAATAAAATAAAAAATCACAGACCCCTTACCTCCAGGCTGAGGAGAAGTCACTGAGTCACTTGTTTTCCACATTGACACATGGGATGTTGATGGGAGATCCCAAATTTTGGACTCTTTGGAAAAAAAAGGGGGAAACAGAAAATAGGCTTAGATAAATACCTGTCTTCCTGCTTTCGGCACCCTACTGTTCCTATACTGACTTCTTTCTTAAAAAAAAAAAAAAAAAAAAAATTATCCAGACACTGTCCTAAGTGACATACATGCATCTGTCATTTAATCCTTAGAAAGAGCCACAGGATAGGTGTTATTTCCATTTTACTAGTGAGGAAACTAAGGCCCAGAGAGATTAAGTGCTTAGCTAAGATCATACAGCAGGAAAGGCAGGATTTGTACTTAGGCAGAGTGAAGCCAGAGTGCCCATACTGTGTCCCTATGTTACACTATCGCAAACACTGATTTATTTCTCTTATACATGTCTGTTTTCCTCTGCTAGATTATTAGCTTCATTCTGGCAGCCCCTGCCATGTGCGTGCTTACAAATGTCCCAGGCATTCTTCTAAGTCCTTACACGCGTGAAGTTATACAACTCTACAACAAACCTAGGAATAAACTGAGGTCAGGGACCCCCAGCAAAAAGTAGTAAAACTGGAAGTCAAACCCAAGTCATCCTCTCTAGCACCCCCAAGGATGCCAATTATGTCTTATTTTAGGGCATACTCTGTCCTGGACCCCAGTGACTACCTAAAGAAGGTTTGATGGGTAGGAGAAAAGACAAATAAATGAAAGAGCGACAATTCTCCCTCCACTCTAAAAAACAGCCAATCACTGAATGAGTAAACCCCTCAGGAGTCTCAACAAAGAAGATTTACATGCATGACATTAGGACGAGACAGCTAAGTGCTACTCAGCCTAGAGTCTAAAAGCAAACATCTAGAGATGTACCATGAGCTACTGCGGAGAACTGCAAAAATCAAGAAGGGCCTTCCCTCCACCCCCGCCCCTCAGCCACAAGAGGGAACAAAGGACAAAGACTGTCCCGAGGCCAGTGTGCCACAGGGGGATTTCATGGCATGAATGACCCAAAGAGGCTGTCAGTCATCTGATTCAGCAACACTTTTATTAATTTCCTTCTCCTCAGTCCAAGGGGTGCGGGAGGACAGAGAAGGTGAGTGTCTGCACACCTTTGGATGTCAGCAGGACAGTGTCTGCAGAAGTAGACTCCGCATTACTCCAGGGGTCACTGGGGAGGACAGTTTCAGATTCTGGAAGAGAAAAAAGTTGGATGAAAGGCAGCTAAAAAATAACAGTATTATTTTTGTTTGTAGTGGGTGGTGGGATTTGGGACTATCTTTTCAAATTTTTTTAATTAATTACTTAATTTTTTAAACAGAGTCTTGCTCTGTCACCCAGGCTGGAGTGCAGTAGCATGATCTCGGCTCATTGCAATCTCCACCACCCAGGTTCAAGCGATTCTCCTGCCTCAGCCTCCCAAGTAGCTGGGATTACAGGCACGTGCTACCATGCCCAGCTAATTTTATATTTTTAGTAAAAGATGGGGTTTGACCACGTTGGCTAGGATGGTCTCAAACCCCTGACCTTAAGTGATCCACCTGCCTTGGTCTCCCAAAGTGCTGGGATTACAGGCATGAGCCACTGCACCCGGCCACTATTTTTTCTGATTTATCTATTTTTTTAAAGACACACTCTCACCATGTTGCCCAGGCTGGAATTGACCTCTTGGGCTCAAGGGATCTTCCTGCCTCAACCTCCCAAATAGCTGGGCTCACATCACCATGTTCCAGGCTATTTTTATAGCTGTCTTGGTGCTTCTTTTTATATTTCAAGTTTTCTTCAAGGAGTGCAAGTGATTTTTAGAATTAAGGAATAGAAACTACAAATATTGTGCTTTACGGTAGTTATTTATTTTCAAGCCCAAAGGAATAAAAGATACATACAAAAATTGATTGGTTCAGGGTTCACAGATTTTAGGTGACTATTCAGAGTATAATAGAATTACCCGATTCAATTTTATAAAGCTATTTGAATTATCCAGGACTTACTGAGGCAGCTGCAATGTCTTAAGAAAGCCTTCAAGCTATCTCATGATTGCTTTCCCAATTCTTACTGCAGAGGCCAACATATGGTGACAGCCTTGACAAGCCCCCCTAAGCAATGGAGCGAGTCACTCGAGTGAGACAGTACAAGTTGCAGGGTCAAGAATTCCAGGGGAAGAAACAAAGAAAAGAAACAAGGCTGGAAGTAGGCACCATCAGGGGACATTTTAGATGCGACTGGAGGTCTTTCCTCAATCAATCGCGAATGCTCAGGCAGCGACTTAACTCTTGAAAGAATGGAATTGGAGTCGGACCAGAAGTGACCTTTCCTGGTTCTTTAATAAACATCTCTTGCAAGACTCCTGAGAGGTCAATTGGAGAACCCAAAATGCTGACTTTTCAAAAACACAAAGGAAAGGGCAGAAAAAAAGAGACACCATAAAAAAAGAAAAGGAACAGTTTAGTGATCACATCTCCTTACACACACACACACACATACACACACACACACACACACACACGCACATACCTACTGTTAAGGAGTAAATTGTGTCCCCTCAAAATTCATATGTTGAAGTGCTAACCCTCCTGTGCCTCAGATGCAAATGGACATTGAAATAGGGCTTACAAAGAGCTGATTCAGGTAAAATGAGGGCATACCAACGGACCATGATCCAATATGACTGGGATTCTTACCTGCAAGCCAAGGAGAGAGGACTTAGAAGAAACCAACCTTGCTGACACCTTGATGCTGGACTTGTAGAACTGGGAACGGCGAGAAAATAAATTTCTGTTGTTTAAACCACCCAGTCTGTGGTGTCTGTTTGATGAGCCTAGCAAACTAATACACGTGCGCGCGCATGCACACACACACACACACACACACACACACACACACAGAGAGAGAGAGAGAGAGAGAGAGAGAGAAAGAGAGAAAGAGAGCAAGTCACTGGGCTGCATCATTCAGCGAGAGAACTCTAAGAAACCCAAGATACTTCCGCGTACCTGTGGTGAGGATGGGCCCTTCCTTAGAAGGCTCGGGAGTCAGAAGACCTGTGGCTGCCTCTGGAAGGGTGCTTGGGGGTGGTGAAGGGCACGCGTCTGCTGTTGTGAGGACGGCGATGGTTGTGGTTGGAAGTGGTGTTCTGGCTGTGAGATCGGGTGTGGTCACGACTGTTGTTGGCAGTGCAGCTGTGGAGGTTGTCATTTGTGGGGTGGTGGGGCTCGTGGTGGTTGTTCTGTGTGTGGTGGTTGTTCTACTCGTGGTTGTCGGGGCTGTAAACAACAACAGACATGTCTGGCGCCAAGTGGGGACGGAGGGAAAAGGAAATAGTACAAATACAACTGGGACCCATCCGTTTCTCTCCATTTCTGTGGCCTCACCTGGTCCGCTGGCCTGGACCATTGTAATGCCCAATAAAATTGTATTTCCTGCCCTGACTCCGACCCCTTCCTTCCAATCTATTCTTCACACACTGCCTAGAGTAATCATTTAAAATGTTGGCCAGGTGCAGTGGCTGCCTGTAATCCCAGCACTTTTGGAGGCCAAGGTGGGAGGATACTTGAGGTCATGACCAGCCTGGTCAACATGGTGAAACCCTGTACTAAAAATACAAAGATTAACTGGGCATGATGGTGAGCGCCTTTAATCTCAGCTACTCAGGAGGCTGAGGCAGGAGAATCGCTTGAACCCAGGAGGTTGCGGTGAGCTGAGATCATGCCGCTGCACTCCAACCTAAGTGACAGAATAAGACTCCATCTCAAAAAAAAAAAAAAAAAAAAAGAAGTCAAATATAATTATGTCCATCCCCTGCCTAAATCTTTTCCCGGGTGCTCCTTGCCCTTAAGATAGAGAACCCAGTCCCGCACCTTGACCTGCAAGTTGCAAGCCTCCATTTGACCCAGTCCCGCCTTTCTTTCCAATCTCATGTCTCCACCCGCCTGCTACCACTTTTTCCTACCCAACTGGCCTTTCTGTAGCTTTTTGAACACGTCAGCAACCTGCCCACTGCACGAAACTTTGTACCCGCTGCTTCCTATTCTCATTCTTCACAAGGCTGACTCCTACTTAACTCTCAGGTCTCAGCTAAAAGGTTACTTCCGCAAGGAGGCCAAGTAGATTCTGCAATAACGATTAGGCTTTTGTGTGATGTGCTCTCACACTTTACCTCCACAGCCTTTATTGCATTCCAGAACTGCACATTTATTTTATTGCTATTGTTTAAAGTCTGTTTATCCCATTAAACTTTAAGCATCATGAGGAAAAATCTGTCATTTATTTTGTTCTATGCTATAAAGCCAATAATTATCACAGTGTCTGGCATATAGTAGATGCTCCAAAAACATTACATGAATGCATAAATGAGTGCGTTGAAAGTGAGCTCAAAGGATGCAAACTAGGGTGAGAATGCAGTCTCTTTCAGACAGTAAAGATTGGTTCATACCAACGCCACTCACCCCCTAAACATCCGATTTGAGCTTCATTAGCCACCGTTTATTCTACAAATCTCATCCTCTCTAGAATAGGCCAAATTTTCATGGACTCTAATGGACCAGAAAAACACCATTTGTTCCAAGTGAACTTGGAAATGACCTCATAATATATCATCAAGTATTCTATAAAATAATAGTTGGTTGTACCCAATTTGAAAAGAGAAGACTTGAGTGGGAGTCATTTAACATCAATAAACCTCATTTCTCTCTTCTGCAAAATTGGAATCCCTTCTCTCTATCTCACAATGTTGCCTTAAGAGAAAGATATACTAATAATGCATGTAAGTTCTTAAATTAGAGTCATCCACATCAGTTGGTGTCAAATTTTAGAGTACATTAGAGTCACCTGAAAACTTAAGAATGTAGGCTGGGTGTGGTGGCTCACACTTGTAATCCCAGCACTTTGAGAGGACGAGGCAGGTGGATCACCTGAAGTCAGGAGTTTGAGACCAGCCTGGCCAACACAGTGAAATCCCATCTCTACTAAAAATACAAAATAAGCTGAGTGTGGTGGTGGGCACCTGTAATCCTATCTACTTGGAAGGCTGAGGCAGGAGAATTCCTTGAATCTGGAAAGTAGAAGTTGCAGTGAGCCAAGATCGCGCCTCTGCACTCCAGCCTGGGTGACAAGAGCAAAATTGTCTTAAAAAAAAAAAAGAATATAGATATCTCGATTCTTGTCTTCCAAGGTGCCCATCCAGTTAGGAATAGAGTCCAAGGATCCTCCAGGTGACACTCATGCAGGCGGAATACAGAGCTCATTTTGGGAAGCTTCATGGCAGAAAACTACTAAAGATGATTATTATTAGCATTATTCAACCACAGGCTCAATGCAGCTCAAATTCCTGGAGTCCCACCATATTCCAAATTTCATCAAAAGTGACTGATAGTAATAGAAGAAAGAGCACCTGAAAACTGCTGTGACTGTGTCCAAATCTTAGGCACAAATCTTTTTCCTCTGCCAGAAGTGGCAAACCATTGGTTTACTGGCTGAAGCTGAACCATGAATACATTTTACTTAGTTCACGCAATTTTTGTATTATTTTAAACCTGTCAACATGCAAAAAATCAACAGAGTTCACATAAAAATGGATAGATATAAAAACACTGAACCCAAATATCTGCAAGGTGGATAACCCCTAGATACATAGCAGCTGCCTCTTCCAATTGACTCTGCAGTTCACTGGTTCCCTTTCCACCTTCCACTCATTTCTGTGGCTGCTTTTGTGTTTACTTACCTACTTCATACCATAGCATCTCATTTCAAATTCAATCTTCCCACACAGTGTAAAAGCAATTCTAACCTCTTCACCACCAGCCGCTGATTCTATTATCCATTAAGCACTGAATCTCTCCTTCCACAGACATGAGCCCCTCATGTGCTTACCTCTCTGTAGCTGCAGACGCCTGTGTAACTTTACATCGTTGAACCAGCCAGGCACCTCTATGCGGCAGCAGTAAACACTGCTGTCACCTTCACTGGGATTTAAGATGGTCAAGGAGACATTGCCTCTCTGGAGAGTCCCCCAAAGTCTATATTTTTCTGACCTTCTTGAGGTCACCCGCATTCCATCGGTGTGGATGAGCTCCTCGTTGCAACCGGAGTTGGGGCACTGGCCTTTCCCCCAGCACATGCTGTTGCTGTCCTGAGACCAGGATGGGTACAGACAGGGCAAAGTCACGGGCTGACCCAAAAACCCCATCACAACAATCTCTGATGTGGCTGGTGCTGTAACGAAAAATGTGAAAACTAGGTCATGCAGTACTGTAATCTCTCAACTACGCTATACAGTTTTTGTCTAATAGATGCTTCCAGGAAAATGAAAAAAGCTGTAGTCTATATTTCTTCTCTTTTTCTTTTTTTTTTTTTTTTTCTTTTTTTGATACAGGGTCTTGCTTTGTCACCCAGGCTGGAGTGCAGTGGTGCAATCATGGCTCACTGCAGCCTCGACCTCCCAGACTCAATCCATCCTCCCACCTCAGCCTTCTGAGTAGCTGGGACCACAGGTGTGTGGCACCACTCCCGTCTCATTTTTGTGTTTTTTTGTACAGACCGGGTTTCCCAGATTGCCCAGGCTGATGTGGTTCTTTAGCATAAGTTCGGATGTGCTTTGCAATGCTGCTGTGCTCCTAATTCCGCATGATTCTATCCCCCAAGTGCTGCCAAGCGGCCACTTGAATCTCTAAACTCATCTCCATGGCAAGACCTTTTTGCTGATTTAAATCCTCTGATTTTAGTTCTATTCAATGACCAATAAACTCTCACATGAAAAATCCTGACCTTGTCACCCAATTCCACTTATTCATATAATCAGGTGGGCTGTTTTCTACAAGTCAATATTGTGGGATACAGACTGAAGAGCTTCAATGGGTCTCCCAAGCCAGAGAGTGCGATGAGAGAAAGGTAGGCTGTAAATATATGTATTCCATTTCCTTCTCTCCTTTCAGTGGAAATTACTGGAACTGGAAATCACTTGCTTTGGACTAGTTGTTTGCTGTTAGATAACATGAAGTAAGGTGGAGCTCATGGACTATTTTTAATGGGCAAACGATAATTGTGTATATTTATGGGGTACCATGTGATGTTTTGATATACATATACATTGTAGAAAAATTCAAACAAGTAATTAACATGTCCAGCACCTTATCAACTTAACAAATTTTTGCGGTGAGAACATTAAAAATCTGTTAGCAATTTTGAGGTATTTAATATGTTATTAATTACTGTGGTCACCATGCAGTGCAATAGATCACTAAAACTTAGTCCTTCCGTCTAACTGAAACTTTGTACCTTTTAATCAACATCTCCCCTTTCCCTATCCCAGCCACCCACCCCCCAACCTCTGGCAACCACCTTTCTACTGTTGCTATGGGATTAACTTTCTTAGAGTCTACATATAAGGGAGATTATACTGTATTTGTCTTTCTATGCATGGCTTATTTCACTTTGTATGATGTATTTTTTTAACATTAGCGCAAGAAGGAACCACAGAAATTATCTAAAATGACAGTTGTGATGTAAAAAAAAAAAAATGCATCAGCTAGTTGAGATGGAATGTTTCATCTTTTCTAAAATGAAGTATGAGTGTGTCCCAACCTCTGCTACTCAATAACATGACCTAAGGAGCTTGTTAAAAATACATAGTTTATTGCCCCAACCTGAGCCTGAATCCCTGAGACCAAGGCCCATGCATTTGTACTTGGATTAAGTTCTCCAGGTCACCCTGATGTAGTTGCCTGGCTAGCCAGTGTTTGAGAACCATTAGGCAAGCTCCTCTAAGATTACCTTTGTCTCTGATCATCTGCAAAACATTTTCACTGTTAAAAATATTAAGCCCATTGGGTTAATGTTGCATCAGAGATTATTCTAAACCATTCCCTCCCCAGAAATGCTATTGAAGTGAAAGCCAGGCAGGCTGTAGATCTCAGATTGTTGGGACCACACCCTGCTCCCCCTTGGGTACCTGGGTCTTTGCGCGTTGTTTTCTCTGAGGTACCCTCCTGTGAGATTCTCTACTCACTAACTTCGCTGACTTTGTTGGCTAAGTTATAGAAGGCATGGCCAGCAGCGCCGTGTTCCTCCCTGACTCAGTTGGCAGTAACAGCCAGACATTCCTCTCTCTAGGAGAAGGTGGGCATGAGCCCTAAGAGTCACCCAGATGGTAAGCAAGACCATGTGCTTCTGGGGTTTTGATAGTCGGCTTTTTTTTTTTAAGACAGTCTTGGCCAGGCAAGGTGGCTCATGCCTGTAATCCCAGCACTTTGAGAGGCCGAGGTGGGCAGATTACCTGAGGTCAGGAGTTCAAGACCAGCCTGACTAACATGATGAAACTCTGTTTCTACTAAAGATACAAAAAATTAGCTGGGCCTGGAGGTGCATGCCTATAATCCCAGCTACTCGGGAGGCTGAGGCAGGAAAATCGCTTGAACCTGAGAGGCGGAGGTTGCGTTGAGCCGAAATTGTGCTATTGCACTCCAGCTTGGGCAACAAGAGTGAAACTCATTTTTTAAAAAAAGAGTTTCATTCTGTCGCCCAGGCTGAAGCACACTGGTACAATCTGGGCTCACTTCAACCTCTGGGTGTTCTTATGATAAAAGGTCACTCCCAATTCGGACCAGACTGCAGGCTTCCCTGAACTTGGTCTCTTCACTTCGCCACAGGGAAATGTTTCACAGATTATAAATGCAGTGGGACACTAGGCGCAGGGGCTCATGCCTGTAATCCCAGCATTTTGGGAGGCCGAGGCGGGTGGATCGCTTGAGGTCAGGAGTTCAAAAGTAGTCAGGCCAACATGGTAAAACCTGTATCTACAAAAATACAAAAATTAGCCAGGCATGATGGCAGGTGCCTGTAATCCCAGCTACTTAGGAGGCTGAGTCAAGAGAATCTCTGGAATCCGAGAGGCAGAGGTTGGAGTGAGCCAAGATCGCGCCATTGCACTCCAGCCTGGATGACAGAGCAAGACTCCATCTCAAAAAAAATAAACAAGAAATAAATAAATGCAGTGGGAAGTCCATTTTGCCTCCCATGAATCCAGGAGAAAAATAAGAAGTTCAATGTCATCACCCTCAGCTATGTTAACAACACAGAACACATTCACCTAAAATTAAGAACTACTAAAGTATGAACTTAGCCAAGTGTGGTGGCACATGCCTATAGTCCCAGCTACTCAGGAGGCTGAGGCAGGAGGATGGTTGGAACCCAGGAGTTTGAGGTTGCAGTGAGCTATGATTGTACCACTGGACTCCAGCCTGGGCAACAAAGCAAGACTGCCTCAAATTTAAGAAAGAAAAAAGAAAAAACATAAGATCTTTTTCCTAGGAATATTTGATAAATTAATAAAACATGTACAAGAAGTAGTCCACTGGAGAGTCAACATTTTATTTTCCCAAGTACTATAGTATGAAAGGAGGCATCCTAATTGCTCAATAAGAAAAATCCAATAGAGAAACTAGCAGAGGACATAATGAACAATTCACAGATAAGAAAATACGAGCAGCCAATTAATTTCACCCATTAGACTGGCAGAAACTTAGAACACTGAACATATTGAATATTGACCAAGGTGTGAGTAAACAGGGCTCCAAGATACTTGTGGGAAGGGACTTAGGAAAGGACTTAGCCTCCTGAGATAAATCAGAGCGAAACGGGGGCATGAACTGGTACAGCCGCACTGTGAGGAAATTTGGCAGTTTCTATTAAATATTCACTATACATGAGTCCTAGATACGCCTTAGCAATTTCGTGTTTGTTATTTACCCTAGACAAACATATGTTCACAAAGATGCCTATTTGCAAATGTTGATTGCAGCCTCCACATATATGTGAATGAAATGGACAATGAATGTATATATGGGAATGACTAAACTGGGGTATATTTATTCACAGAATTCTATGTAGATTAATAGCATTAGAGATAGACTTACATGAATTGACATGAAGACTCCAGCCATTTAATGATGAAGAGGACAAATTTCAAAACAAGACATAAAATATAAAACCCTTCTTGTAAAACAAATAAATAGAACAATTGTCTTTGTTTTTGTGGGCTCAGACGTTTGAAATTAAATGCCTGGTGCAATAGACACCAAACTCATTTTGTCAGTGACCTCCAGGATCAGAGGAAAGGGACTGGAATTGGGGATAGTAGTCCAAAGGGCATGTGGCTTTATAACATTTTAATATTTTCTCCAGGAGTGTTTCTGTATTATCTTGTTAAAAATTCATTTGTAGGGACATGGATGAACCTGGAAACCATCATTCTCAGCAAACTGACACAGGAGCAGAAAATCAAACACCGCATGTTCTCACTCATAGGCGGGTGTTGAACAATGAGAACACATGGACACAGGGAGGGGAGCACTACACACAGGGGTCTGTTGGGGGGAAATGGGGGAGGGATGGGGCGTGGGGAGGTGGGGAGAGATAGCATGGGGAGAAATGACAGATATAGGTGAGGGGGAGGAAGGCAGCAAATCACACTGCCATGTGTGCACCTATGCAACAATCTTGAATGTTCTTCACATGTACCCCAAAACCTAAAATGCAATGAAAAAAAATTTTTTTTAAAAATTCATATAAAAAAAAGGAAGCAGGCACTGGGTAGGGCAGGAAAAACAACCATTAGGCTCACATTGTAAACCCCACCCTGCCAGTTACTTATTGCTTTTGTGTTGTTGGAGGAAAGCCATGGTAATCTTGACCTCATTATCACAAGACAAAGGGGATAATACTCACCTCACAAATGGTGCTAAGGTCCACATAAAAGGGAGTATCAAATGCCATGTGAAATTAACAAAGTAATAATATGCATAACCAAGGACATTAGAATTTAGAAATAAGACAAAAAAATGGTTCCTGTCTGTTGCAAAAGTATTCCTCAGTAAAGTAATTGTTGGTATCAAATCAATTCCACTTCTGTGGAGCTACCCGGAATGGTGGATACAACCTAGGTCCTTATGCCAGCTTGTTCCTTCCCTAGCTGGTGACCTTGAGCAAGGCTGGCCCTTCCCCAATCTGAGTCTCAAAATCACCATCTGCAGAGCAAAGGGCATCTTTTAAGAGTATATCCAGCTCTGATCCTTGGTGATTCTGAGCAGTTACTCTCTTTTAAGCTGGTCGTCTTAGAAAACGCATGTATAGGCCGGGCATAGTGAGTCACACCTGTAATCCCAGGACTCTGGGAGGCTAATACGGGTGGATCACCTGAGGTCAGGAGTTCAAGACCAGACTGGCCAAACATGGTGAAACCCTGTCTCTACTAAAAAAATACAAAAAATTAGCTGGGTGTGGTGGTGGATGCCTGTAATCCCAGCTACTCAGGATGCTGAGGCAGGAGAATTGTTTGAGCCTGGGAGGCAGAGAAGTTGCAGTGAGCTTAGACTGCACCACTGCACTTCAGCCTGGGCATTGGAGTGAGACTCTGTCTCAGAAAAAAAAAAAAAAAAAAAATTGAAAAAGAAAAAAGAAAAGGCACATATGGAAAAAAAATAATAATAAAATAAAACAAAAAACAGTTTACCGGGTACTATCTCCTTCAAGCAGGACTGGAAAAGCCCCTCAACCAGTGTTTTATAGACCCTAGCAACTTTCAACCTAACAAAACCCTCCAAACTTCAAGTTTCCAGGATAAGACTAAGTCAGTAAAAAAAATTGATGAAAAAGCAGATGGTAGTTTTCTTACATCTAAACAAAGAGATGCTCATACCAAACCCAAAGTAGAAGTGTGAAAGTGACAGGGACTACTTTCATTCTGTAGATTTTTTCTTTCTTTCTTCTTTCTTTCTCTCTTTCTCTCTCTTTCTTTCTCTTTCTTTCTCTCTCTCTCTTTCTTCTCTCTCTCTCTTTCTTTCTTTCTCTTTTTGAGGTGCAGTCTTGTTCTGTCACCCAGGCTGGAATGCCTCGGTGCAATCTTGGCTCATTGCAACCTCTGTCTTCCAGGTTCAAGCGATTCTCCTGCCTCAGCCTCCTGAGCAGCTGGGATTACAGGCACATGCTACCACACCCAGCTAATTATTGTGATTTTAGTAGAGACAGGGCTTCATTCATCGTGTTGGCCAGGCTGGTTGCAAACTCTTGACCTAAGATGGTCCACCTGACTTGGCCTCCCGAAGTGCTGGGATTATAGGCGTGAGCCACCACACTTGGCCTGTAGTAGATTGTTTCTTGAGTGCCTATAATGTATTAAGCATGGAACTAGGTGCTGAAATATAACAAGCCACAAAGCAGACCCAGCCTGCCCTCCTGGGGCCTGCAGAGTATCTGGGAAGAGAGGCAGACAAGCAAGCATTTGCTAGTCACAAGTTTACAGATGCAGGAACTCCAAGGAGAATGAGAACTCATAGCAGAAACAGCTAACCTAGTCCAGAGGCTACGGGGTGGCTGGGAAAAGCCTGACTTAAGCAGGGACCTGAGGATACATGGCACTATGGAGGAAACAACGGCATAGAGAATAATATAATACGAGTTTGACAGGCAAGGAAATATGGTTGTTTTCCTTAAAATGTGGCTGTCTTCTCATGCACCCTGTTGGAAATGTTTCTGCACATACAAATAGCCAAGAGGTAGAAGAAAAAATGTTTAACATCATTAATCATTGGGGAAATTCAAATCCAAACCACAACGAGGTATCACTTCATTCCTGTTAAAATGGCTACTATCAAAAAGACAGAAAAAAAAAAAAAAAAAACAACATTGCTAATTAGGATGCAAAGAAAGAGGAACTCTCATATACTGTTGGTAAGAAGGCAAATTCCTACAGCCATTATAGGAAACAGTATGGTGATTCCTTAAAAAACTAAAAATAGAACTACCATATGATCCAACAATCCCACTACTGGGGATATATCCAAAAGAAAGGAAATCAATTAAAGAGATACTTGCATTCCCATGTTTATCACAGCACTATTCACAATAGCCAAGATATATCAACTTAAGTGTCCATCAATGGATGAATGGGTAAAGAAAATGTGGTATATACACACTGTAGAATATTATTCAGCCATGAAATGAAACTCTGTCATTTGCAACAACATAGATGGAAACAGAGTTTATTAATATTATGTTAAGTTTAATAAGCTAAGCACAGATAAACAAATATTGCATGGTCCCACTCCTACATGGGAGCTAAAAAAGTTGATATCATGAAAGTAGAGAAGAGAATAATAGTCACCGGAGTCTACAAAGAATAGGGCAGCAGGGGTATAAAGAAAGGTGGGTTAATGAGTACAAAAATACAGTTAGTTAGAACATGTGGAAAAAAGAAAAAAAATACAGTTAAATGGAAGGAATAAATCCTAGTGTTTAATAGCACAGCAGTTATTAATAATTTTTTGTATATTTCAAAATAACCAGAAGAGAATATTTGGAATGTTCTCAACACAAAGAATTCCAGCACTTTGGGAGGCTTGGTGGGTAGATCACCTGAGGTCAGGAGTTCGAGACCAGCCTGGTCAACATGGTGAACCCTCATCTCTACTAAAGATACAAACAATTAGCTTGGCATCATAGTGGGCACCTGTAATCCCACTTACTCAAGAGGCTGAGGCAGGAGAATCATTTGAACCTGGGAGGCAGAGGTTGTGGTGAGCCGAGGTCATGCCACTGCATTCCAGCCTGTGTGACAGAGCAAGTCTCCCGTCTCAAAAAAAAAAAAAAAGAAAAAAAGAAAAAAGAAATTTATTGTTTCAAGAAATGAATATCCCAATTACCCTGATTCGATCATTGTACATTGTATGCATACATCAAAATAACACACAAGTAGTCCATAAATACATATAGTTATTATGTATCCATTAAAAAAATGGACTTTATAAAACTTCAAGGACTATTCAATATTATCTTATCCTAGAAGCAAAGATTGTGACAACTGGTCATTTAAGAAGCCAGGGCTCTCATTCCAACTATGGGACAAATATGGGAGAGCCAGAGCAATTTAGATGTATTCCCAGTGTCAAGACTTAGTGCCCGAAATGCAGCTGCAGCTCAGGCCAGAACACCTGGCCCTATACCACCAGTATGAAAAGGACTTCACTGGCCGAAACGGAGTGTGCACCGCTGCATCACCCAAAACCCAAAAACAACGTGCAGAAAACAAACCTTACCATAAGGCCTCACCCCAGCGAAACAAAAAAGCAAGCAAACAATTCTAAGAAACAGAGAAATGGTAAGAATTATCACAACTCTCACCAGAACAAATTCTCCTGACTTATTGATTATATGAATAACACCTGTAGAGGAAATCTCTTTTCCCCAGTTTATCTGACCACTTGTTTCTCTGTCTCTTCTTCAGTTGCCATTTCCAATATAAACCCAAATTACCCCAGCCTAAGACCTCCAGACCTGTCTCTGGATAAACCTCTGTGTAAGGAGGCAGGAGAAACTCTCCACAGAAGAAAGCCTGGAAGGGAGAGGGGAGAGGTGCAGAAATGAAGTGAGCCTGTGCTTTATGGAGGCCCAAACCAGTGCGTGGAAGTCCATCACACAATAGCAAGTCCTCTAGGAGCTTCTACATAGAAGGTTTCAGAACACTTACTCAGATAAAGCCCCCAAAACTCAATCACCAGCCAGAGAACCAGAGTTTCTTTGGACATTTTGACGGCTGACCGGAGCTAGGAGTCTGTCTATCTAACCAAAGCCCATTTCTTATACTGCAGTTAATGCTGACAGGGTGGGACTCTTGTTTCATTTCTCTTTTTCCCTCATAATCTTCCCGTTCCCCTGTCCCCCAACTGGTGAAGCATGATGCAATGTGCTGAGCCCTTTTCTCCTGGTGACTAACGTGTGTGTGGAGGGATGGCGTGGGCACACTTGTGCCTCGCTGTCCACGTGTATGGTGGGTTTCCTACATGTGCACGAGCATGCATGCATGTGCTGGTGCAAATGTGCCTGTATAACCTCTGCACGTTCCACAGTCGCCCCAACTGCTGCACAGCCTGTCACAAAATACAGTTGACCCTCCACACTGGCAAATGTTTACATGTAGATTCCTCATGGTGCCAAAGCACAGTTGGACTAAAAGTTGGCTCCATTTCCATTCTAGGTTCTCCCTCACCCTCTCCCCTGGTCTCCTTGCCCTGATAATGGAGAAAGAAAAGTGAAGACAGGCACAGTGGCTCACACCTGTAATCCTAGCACTTTGGAAGGCCGAAATGGGAGGATCACTTGAGGCCAGGAGAGTTTGAGACCAGTCTGATCAACATAGCAAAACCCCCTCCCAATTTTTTATTTAAAAAAATGTTTAATAAAAAAATTAAATTAAAAAATTGTCAAGTTTTAGGAAGACACTGAAGCCCAGAACTTCCTGATTCCAAAGCTCACGGTGAATCACTACATTGTCCTTTGACCTGTGACCCTTTGGGTAATGTGTCCATATGACAAAGCCTACCTGTGTCTTGCTCCGACTTAGTACCAGAGAGAAAATATAAGAATGCACAAATGGGCCGGGCGCGGTGGCTTACGCCTGTAATCCCAGCACTTGGGGAGGCCTAGGCGGGTGGATCACAAGGTCGAGAGATCGAGACCATCCTGGTCAACATGGTGAAACCCCGTCTCTACTAAAAATACAAAAATTAGCTGGGCATGGTGGCGCGTGCCTGTAATCCCAGCTACTCAGGAGACTGAGGCAGGAGAATTGCCTGAACCCAGGAGGCGGAGGTTGCGGTGAGCCGAGATCGCGCCATTGCACTCCAGCCTGGGTAACAAGAGCGAAACTCCGTCTCATTAAAAAAAAAAAAAAAAAAAGAATGCACAAATGTTCCAGATTTTTTTAAATCCTCAATTGATTGTAAACAGCCAACAAACCTCAAACATTTCAACATTGCTTCTACTGAAGGTATCAGTGAAAAACCTAAATTTTCAGGTGAGGTTCTGAACTCAGGAAAGCCAAACTAACATGGGCAGGGATGAAAATAAGGGGATTCAGAGTGAACCTTTCCCCTGAATGCCCACAGAACCATGGGATCCTTTCCCTATGCTATCCCCAGGAAACTGGAGAATTTAATCTCTGGCTAAACTAAATGGTCCCAATAAAACATTTTCAGATATTTATATTTTTTGAGTGTTCCCCAACAAAATCACCCAACCTTCCTTCAATAAGTTCACCAGTTCATGAGCCTCAGCCATGCATGCAGAACTTTTAATTAGTTTTTAGTGTCACTTTCAGGTAAGAACAGATAACCGGGAGCATCAGACATTTGGAGAAAGTGTTTATCATAAAAAAGAGACAAAAACAACAGGGTGAGCTAAAGAGAACTTCAAAAAAAATTTTTTAAGCTAATATTTTCTCAGAAAGATTTTACATCTGTGAAAAAGAACATAGATGTTATTAAAATGAAAAATCAGAGACTAGAAAAGAACTCTTAGAAATTAAAAATATTATACCTATCCCTGAATTTTATGAAAGGTTTGAAAAATAAAGTTAAGAAAATTTGTTAGAAAATATAATTATCTACAAAGTCAAAGGGCTAGGATTGTTTCAGAACATTACAAGAGAGAATAGAGGAGAGGAAATTACTGAAGAAACAATAAAAGACTCTCATAACTCAAGGACATGACTCTCAGCATTGAGAGGGAGAATCAAATGCGAAGCTCTGTGAATGAAAGTATCGCCACAAAGCAAGACATCATCATGTATTCTGAGAACATCAGACATAAAGAAAAGATACGAAAAGACTCCAGAACAACAACATATTGCACTGATGGATTTGGAATTAGAATGGCATTGGTGTTCTAAACAACAAAGCTAGAAAATAATGCATGAATACCTTCAAAATTCAGAGGGGAGCCTGAGTGTGGTGGCTCACACCTGCAATCCAGCACTTTGGGAGGCCGAGGCAGGTGGATTGCTTGACTCCAGAAGTTCCAGACTAGCCTGGGCAATATGGTGAAAACCTGTATCAGCTGGGTACAGCAGCTCACGCCTCTAATACCAGCACTTTGGGAAGCTAAGACGGGCAGATGATTTGAGGTCAGGAGTTCAAGACAAGCCCGGGCAACATGGTGAAACCCGGTCCCTACTAAAAATACAAAAATTAGCTGGGTGTGGTGGTGCACTCCTGTAATCCTAGCTACTTGGGAGGCTGGGGCAGAAGAATCACTTGAACACAGAAGGCAGAGGTTGCAGTGAGCTGAGATGGCGCTCCTGCACTCCAGCCTGGGTGACAGAGACTCTGTCTCAAAACAAAAAGAAAGAAAAAGAAAAGAAAGTCTGTATCTGTCAAAAATACAAAAAAATTGGCCAAGTGTGGCAATGCATACCTGTGGTCCCAGCTACTCCAGAGGCTGAGGCAGGAGGACTGCTTGAGCCTGGGAGGTACAGGTTGTAGTGAGCTGAGATTATGGCAATGCACTCCAGCCTGGGAAACAGACAGAGACCCTGAGTCAAAAAAAAAAAAATTCAGAGTAGAAATTTATTTTCAACCTAGAATCCTACTTCCAGACAATCTATTTCTCAAATGTAAGAGTACAATAAAGACTTTTTTGGACATGGATTCAACATTTACTTACTATGCTTCCCTTCCTAGGAAGTAATAGAAGAGAAATCTATAGCAAAACAGGAGAAAAAAAACGGAACAGAAAGCCATGGGATCCAGACAACACGACATCTAACTCCAGGGAAGAAAAATTTCATGAAGAAAACTGCAGAACAGAGAGGGGAACTGTTTCACTGCAACATAAACCACCCCAAAACCTAGTGCCTGAACAATGTACTTTTCATGATTCCCTGGGATAACAGTGTTCAGCCGGGTAGCACTCACTCAGTGACAGTGGCTAGGGCTGCAGCTATCTCAAGACTAGACTGGACTAATTGTCCAAGATACCTTTCTCACTCACATGACTGATGATCAAAAATGACATTTTTAGCTGGAATCATATGTCTTGCAAGTCAATAGAATGACTAGAAGAGGTAGGGACTAGGCTGACAACTCTCTCTCTCTCCACATGGCCTTTCTACATGGCAACGTGGGCTTCCTTACAGTATGGTGGTCTCAGAGTAGTTGGATTTCTTATGTAGGATCTGGCTTTCTAAAACATGAGCATTCCAGCATGTTCAGGAATAATCTATGAAGGTTCTTATGATTTAGGCTTAGGTCACATTCAGTCTCATTTTTACAGTATTCTATTGGTCACAAGGCAAGTTATGAAGCTGTCTCAGAGAATTCAAGCAGATGGAGCAATACAAGGATGTGAATACAAGGAAGTGTGGTTCACTGGGGTGTCAGGGGAAGCATCTCTGGAGACTAGATACTTTTATAACCAACTCAGGCTGGGGCAGAAGGGCAGAGGAATAAGCCTTGGGGTGTTGGTAGTGTCATGAATAAGCTCATGTACTTAGGTATTTTGAAAATAAATTTGATAGGTGTTTGGCAGGTATGATGGAATATTTGGGATTTTGTTTGTTTTTTGTTTTGTTTTGTTTTGTTTTTTGAGACAGGGTCTTGCTTTGTTTGCCCAGGCTGGAGTGAACTGGTATGTCTTAGTAAAGCCCCAATCTCCAGGCTCAAGCAATCCTCTTGCCTTAGCCTCCCACGTAGCTGGAACCACACGTGTGTGCCTCCATGCCCAGGTAATTTGTTTAAATTTTTGTAGAGGCATGGTCTCGCCATGTTGCCCAGGCTGGTCTCAACCTCCTGGTCTCAAGTGATCCTCCCATCTTAGCCTCCAGGAGTGCTAGGATTACAGTCATGAGCCACTGCTCACAGTGATGGGATGAATATTTTATGGATACTTGAGGAATTAAGAAAAAAGACAATGAAGACCAAGTGTGGAGGCTCATGCTTGTAATCCCAGCACTTTGGGATGCCAAGGCAGATAGATCACTTGAGGTCAGGAGTTCCAGACCAGCCTGGACAACATGGTGAAACTCCGTCTCTACTAAAAATACAAAAATTTTCCAAATGCAGTGTGGGTGCCTGTAATCCCAGCTACTTGGGGGGCTGAGGCAGGAGAATCCCTTGAACCCAGGAGGTGGTGGCTACAGTGAGCCAAGATCGCGCCACTGCACTCCAGCCTGGGTGACAGAGGGAGATTCCGTCTGAAAAAAACAAGCAAACAAACAAAAACTGAGGTAATTATTACAACCAGGAAAGATAAAATGTTATATTAGAAAAGAAATGTAATTATGGTGCATTTGCGAAATATGAAAGCTATTACATGATCATGATAATGTAAAATCTGGCTACTAGCTTAACACACCCTTTTTTTTTTTTTTTTTTGAGACAGAGGCTTCTGAGTAGCTGAGACTAGAGGCATGTGCCACCATGCCCAGCTAACTTTTTGTATTTTTAGTAGAGACGGAGTTTCACCCTGTTAGCCAGGATAGCCTCGATCTCCTGACCTGGTGATCCTCCCGCCTCAGCCTCCTAAAGTGCTGGGATTACAGGCATGAGCCACTGCACCCAGCTGTTTTTTTGTTTTTTGTTTTTTGTTTTTTGTTTTTTGACATAGGGTCTTGCTCTGTCACCCAGGCTGGAGTGCAATCTTGGCTCACTGCAACCTCTGCCTCCAGGGTGCAAGCGATTCATCCCTCAGCCTCCCAAGTAGCTGGCATTATAGGCATGCACATGCCTGACTAATTTTTGCATTTTTAGTAGAGACAAGATTTCGCCATGTTGGTCAGGCTGGTCTCAAACTACTGGCCTCAAGTGG